ATGTTTCATGTTTATACGCTTAACGGACATTTTAAAATTCTATAAATATTAAAAAATATCAACAGGCCAGGATAAACTCACACACAGAAACATACACATACCTGTGCTTAAATACCTACATATGTATGTACATATGTATGTATGTATATGGGCACATTTGTGGGACACACACACACATTAAGTTTTATTGGCATGGCACTACTACTGACCTACTTTATATACACCTGAGATGGCTCGGCACACACACTTGGACAGCATACACCTGCTGAAACCCCCACATACCCGTTAATACATGGATACATACATAGGGAATACGAAGACAAGAATGGGGGCAAAGGTGGCACTGCAGGCGCGCTTTGATCTATGGCCTGGCTGGCATTTTCCTTTTCCGCGAAGGTCTTTGCCAGCCACAGGTATGAAACTTTTCAGCGGCCCACAACCAGCACGAAGAGCAGAAAGTAATTTCTCCATTTTCCACGTTAATTAAATTAACGAACAAAACACCCAACCTTAAAGTGTATATAGTGTCTATATTATACACTGAAAACTGAAAATTACTGTAGGCTGGAGATGTTGGTGCGAACAGCGATTGCAGACAAGGAAGACTCCTCTAGGACTATTGATCTACAGCAGAGTGCCAGAGGTTGCTAAATTTCAATTTATATCGCATTTTATATAATTTTTATAGATTTTTCGTTTTGTGTCACGGAACCCTCATTAAAATGCAACCAAAGAAATCATGTTAAATAATTCAAAGCCGCAGAGTATTTCATAAATACATATGTTTCAGATGGAATTGGGTAGTGAGTACGCCGACGTATCTTCTAGTCAAAGTGCGTGTTTGGGATGAATTATCAAGTGTTGTTGACACAAACATCCACCCGCTCACATAATCGTAGATGTCCTCCTGCAGGACGAGCCGGGAGCGTAAGCGCTGCAACAGAGCTTACGTAAATTGAAAGTGTGCGCGGGCGTGTCATAAGAACAGCTTTTCCCACTCCTCGCTCAAACACTCTTGTTTGTGCGATTGTCTATGCGACATTAAACGAAAATACATACATACACAAACCCGTACGTACCATACAATAAATGCTTCCAGCAAGCAAATGACCGGAAAGGCATACATAAATAAGTTTCCGGATTAAACGCACATCTTCCGACTCTACTTCCTTGTGCGGACATCCTCGCTAGTTGGTCCAATAAACCGAGACTCTAAGAGCGCACAATGAACTTGTACATATTCGTGTGTATGTACATATGTATGGCATATATGTACATACTAGATGAGTACGCCTATACAGCAAAGTTTGGATTAACTTATTCATCGACCGATGGTCGCTTGTAATGTTCTAATGAAGAATTTGAAATGAGTTGGCAATCACGAGCTGAAAATTAAATGTCAGAAGTTAATTTGTTCAACAGAATTAATTTGATAAAACCAGTTAAGAGATGTGAAAAAAAGGTTGGTGAGCCCTCCCCTCCCCATAAACCCCATTTCCATTGGATATTTAATGGTTTATAAAATGTTTATTGTCCCATGCAAAGGTTTTACGCAACTGAAATTCCATAAACCATTTTATTCCATCATCCTGGGACATAAAGTATTTTGATTCAGCCTCGAGGTTGTCGCTGCTCTTTTTCTGTCTGCTTGTTTGCCTTTTCTCCAAAAAGATATTTCATTTTTATTCTTCTGCGGCGCTGCACGTGGTCCACACTCGCATTCAATATTCAAGAGTCTCAACAAATTACTTGAACCCTTTTCATAGCCCGTTGGATGCCCCTAAAGGCTTTAAGTCATTTGTCAAAAAGTGCAAAAACGGCTTACGAGACTGCAAAAGCAGAAACACAGCCGCGTCGTTTACAAGCAGAAGGATATTGCTGGCAAGGACATTTGAGACCCAACCCAATTTCACTTTCACACTTTTCTACTTATGCAAATGTCGCTCCTCATTCGTTCAGCAGAAACAACAAGAAGGGTAACAGCATAACAATAAAATATAATACAATGAAGCTTTGCCTTGAGGAAGAGACTACCAAACACATTGCCTGTCATCTTTTTCGCACATTAGGCCTACTTTATTCTTGGGTCGTTGACAGATTAAATTACACAATTGTATGGCCCGGAGACCACCGTTGACAGATCATTGAGGCAAAAACAACATCCATCCTTATAGGTAAATAAAAAAAAAATGTATTTCCAAAATGAAAAACCAATTTGGCAACAGCTCCCAGGATATTGTGGTACAAGACCGAACTCTAAACTAATATTAAAATAACTTTCGATGATGTCGATTCTTCCATTCCATCAGTGATGTACCAGAAACCAATACCTCGAACGCTTCCTTAAATTGTACCACAGAGCCAGCGAATTTATGGCCCCAACTATTAAATGTTCCAGCTCCGGGTGGCCACAGCCCACTTGTGGTTTATGACGCAGCCTGGTGTTTTAAAAAAGCCGGCCAGAATGGGACCGCAGTCCCTGGCCGCGTTTGCAAAAGGTTAGTCGTCCGACCAGCTCAGCACATTATAAAAAATTCAATTATAAGCTTTTTATAATGTCATGGGTTGCGTTCCACCTGGCTACGATTTTCATTTCGGTTTTTCGCTTTCAGTTTACACTTTTTCATTGGCCGAACTGAACCGTGGTAAAACCGATCCATAGAATAGGGGAAACTGAACTGATAAGTTGCTCAAACAAATCGCACAACGAATACCGGTTACAAACATTTCAGTCGCCTACTGAAACTTGAAGAGTTAGAAAATATTTTATAATAAATTGATTAGAGTGAAAATAAAATGAGTAAGACGACCATACTAGGTCTTAATAATTATTGCCTGTGCCTATCTGTTCGATCAGACAAAACTGAATTGTACACAAATGGGAAGGGAAGTGACTGAAGACAGCATTCGATACGCAGATATTATTTAATTTGCGAACTGCTGCCGTCATTTCAGTACAGCCTTTCTGGCTTGGCAAGTTAACCGGCGCGTCGAAATTGATCGATCATTTTATTCCCTTTCGACAAGTGTTTGTATTGACTTCCAAACTCAATACAACCGAGAGAAACAGATTATTGCAGCATACAAGAAAGCCTTCTGGCCTTGACCCTTGTTAATGACCTAATACATAATACTAAGCTCGAAGAGATCATACTTGATCATAGCTGTATTCGAAATGACGCTGAGAGCACTTCGCAATAAACGCACCTTAAGAAAACTAGAGATTAAGGTGAAACGTAAGAGGCTTCGAAATATATACCAGGTACTCGAAGAGTTAATAGGGTATATTGTATTTTTTCGAATAACGGTTGTATGTAACGCACAGAAGGAAACGTTTCCGACCCCATAAAGTATATATATTCTTGGTCAGCATCAATAGCCGAGTCTGTCCGTCCGTCTTGTTGAGCGCCTGGATCTCAGAGACTATAAAAGCTAGAGCCACCAAATTTTGGCTCCAGACTGCTGTATGCTCACACTGAAACCAGTGTATTTACAAAATTAACCTCCCAAATCTACAAATTTTGAATATAAAATAAATCTAGAAACTCCATTCTGTAGGGAATGACCATATCTATAAGGTTGGGATCCGATTGGATCATTATTAGAAGAAATTAATTTCCAGTGGCAAAACCCACCCCGTCCCGCATCTTATATTTGTTTTTTCACATTCTCTCATTCACACTCTGCTTCTGCATTATGCGGTCTCTGCCTCTCGCGTTCCTCTGCCTCTGTCGGGACTCTGCAGTGTGTGGCTCTAGGAAAGGGGGGCGAGCTAAAGGAGCGTGTTGGCGTGAGAAGTGTTGTAGATGTAGATGAGAGATGAAGAAAAAATGTAAAACTTGACAAAAAGCCGCTAAGGTACACATGTAGTACTGAGTGCCGAGTATAAAAGTTGTGACGCGTAAGAAGCGTCTCACACGTCCCTTCTCCTTTATAGGTTACTCCCTAGACAATTTGCTGGACTTTGATTACCTTGAAATCCTTGACCTAGATGTATAAATGGAAGCCCGTACCTTGGTCGAGTGTGTGAGATCGAACCAGAATCTCCGTGAGCTTGTTTTTATGAGCACCGAAATCTTTGGGGGACTTGCCGACATTGTCCCATATTGCAATAATCTGAGGAGTCTGACTTTCCGCATTAAGCTTGGTGTGGACGCTACCGAGTATGCATAATTTGGGTCGCTCGAAAAGCTGGAGACGTTCCGAATGTATGAACAGCCTCAAGTCGGTTTATTAGTGCAGTTATTTAAATCACTGGCCACCAAAAAGACGAGAGATTATATCTATTCATGATGCGAAGATGAATTATGATGAAGTCGATGAACTGTCCAAAGTTCTATCCCTGCGGAAATTGCAGTGCCAACTCATCGAACCGCAACATTTAGAACTCTTTACCTCGATCGCCAAAATGGACCACTCTGAAGTAACTTTTCACAATGTTTTAAATGAGTCCCGACCAGCAGATGTCGATTTGATCAAATTTACTCTTTTTGTCGATCAAAAGCAAACCAAAGCAATCGAAAACGCTTGACTTGTTTGTTGAGAACCAGACCTGTTCCACTCTCCCATATGAGTTTATATCAAAACTTCAAAATGTGCTCGTGATTCGCATTGAGGAAAGCGAAGGAAGCTGTACATTAAGAAGCCAAGGACTGGCATCCAGACAAACCCAAACTTTTCAGCAATTGGACCTGAAAAACTATGACTTCAACATGGACTGCGAACAAATAGCAAACATTGCTAAAATCAGTTCGTTAAGATTTTTAATTTTTTTCGCTGTTCCCCACATGCGACTAATATTGAGTCTTTGACGCAGCTCAAAGAATTCAGATCTCTAGAGGTCTCTTCAAAAATGCATATACCAATTGAAGTTCGTAACTCTTTCCTAGGCCCAAGGGATGAGCATCCTGTAAAGAGATATAATAAAGATTTATCCCTAATCAACTCGCAAAAGGATATTGTGAATAGTGTTGATATACATTATTCTTATTGGACATTTTGTTTACCTCAAAAACAGTATGTCCCGATCCAAGCTCGGATTCACAGATAGATCTGTTTACCTCTATGAAAATCACTTGACCTATCGCTTCGTCGCTAATAATTGAGATCCCTCGTGGAGATTACATTCAAATTTTAGTAAGAAAATTCATTTTTTAAAAACAAAACTTTAATTCCACAAAAAGAGCTTGTTAATCATAAATATATAATTTATTTTATAGGACTTAAATCATCAGTATTTTTATTGAAATCTGGATCTGACCGCCCTACCTCGTCTGCAGAACAGCATGTTGAGGCACTACCCAACTGCCACTCCAGTACATTTCCGCATTCAGCTGCTGTCGGACAAGAAGGTCGTCATGGTCGAAGCAGCAGGCTACGAAACGGAGATCTTCTTGCCCCAGTTATTGGATGGTCGCATTAACTTGAAAAACATCATTCGCAGTCGTCAGCCCAGACAACATCAACATCAACATCAACATCAGCTTCAGAATTTTGATAGCTTCGCCGATTCCCGGTCAATCCAAAGCAAGGTCAGACAGCGTTCGGGGCAATCCAAGCTGACAACTGCAACAGCAGGTCTGGCTCCTCCCACATTCAATGGAGATGTATTTGCTGCAGGAGGTTCAAATGTGGGAAATGGTCCACAATTCGCCTTGAAGCTGATCTCCAATGGTAGCGTGGTGCTCGTGGAGTCCAATGGGTACGAGTCCGAGATATTCCTGCCCCATATGTCTTGCGCCTACGTTTCCATGAAACGCGTTACAGCCAGCCAACTTGTCCAATGCTCATGCTTGACGTCCAAACAGGCAACTCGTCCAGAGAAAATTAATCCGAATCCCACGGCTGTGATGGGCCAACCCAAGTCCAATCGTGTTAATTTGCCCAATGCAACGCGGCGGTGCGGCATCGGAGAATCCAAAAAGGAGAGCTCGGTAACATTTACAGCAAAAGATGGTGTGGAGGCTTTTGTGTCTCGGAGGGGAAAACGTCGCAAGACTCATCATCAGGATATGGCAAAAGCAAAGGCCAAGCAATCTGAGGCTGGCGATCAGCAGGTCAAAGTGAAGGCATGTGAGCAACTGCCACTCCAGGAGTACTCACCCAGGCATATGACATAAAAATGTTACAAATTGTATTCTTACGCCATTGCCACGAAATCGAAATCATATATTACAAAACCCACACACCATCTAAATTCGCTATGAAGCTCTTGATTGACCGGACCGCTGTCTTGGTTGAGTGTCCGCGCATGGAGCCGCAGATGTTTACGCCCGTATTTCTCAACCACTACGTGATCTTCAAGAACGTTGTGTTCGACCTTAATTATCCCCTCGATGAAAATAGACGGCCCAACAAAGTCTTTCATGCCTAATCATGCGGTTGGCCAGCACCTGAAGTCCAAGGTCCATAGCTACAGTTGCTTAAGAAGCGAACTGTCATCACACATCCAAGGCAAATAAAAAGGAAAACATGAAGTTCACTTTGAGGAGTCCAAAGAGGGAGACTTTCACGACAGTTTCAAGTAGACAGTGCAGAATTAATCGATTGGATGCTGAAGCAGCAAAGTATTACACGCACTTCCCTACCTTTCGATTTAATTTGCAGACTCTTCTATCGGGACAGAGGTGAATACGGAAGTCATGGATCAGACAGAAGTTCGTCCATGTTCACTGTGTTGGACCCCAACCCTCTGCATAAGATGCATACACTTCACAGTGATCAGTCAAAGAGAAGCTTGGGCACTTTTAATTACTGGGAAGTAGATGCATCTACAGGGGAGCTTCAGAGAACTCATTGCTCAATTTAAGTTGGTTTATATGTGAATAAAAATTAAAAGTATCCGATTCACAAAAAGAAACAGCATTTAAAATACGAATGTATGTATGTACCTGTCGGATATTTCATTTTAATTCATTATATTCGTTCATAGTCTCCAGGTTGGACAGAGACAAACCAAGACATCTACTGATGCACACATTTAAAGCTTTTCCATTGGTAAACTAAATACAACGCTTTCCAATTTCGAGTCAGCTGTGTTTGTTTGAAAACTTTGAGGTAGGTCACATCCATAGTGTACACGTCAAGCCAGTCGTAACTAATCTAAGAACAAAGTTAACATTATTACTCATATTTATACACTATTTACTCTTCGAGTACCGGGTATTAAAAGTATGTATATTTCGTCCCTCTTCCCTAAGGAATCTGCTTCCCAGCAGCCATTGGAATTAGTATCATTCCATTTTTTCTTTAGATTTTCCGAACACTAACTAAATTTAAAATTGTTCACTTGCCGTCTTCGATCTTCTAGTTGTGTAACTAAATATGAACGCGATCTCAGCCGTGTCGCATAGTCTTCTGCTGCAGGCCTTTGGCAAGTCCTCAAGTCGTCGAAGTGCCGCCACAGGAAGACGCGGAAATGGTGGAGGGAGTTTATCACCTTTCGCCTGCCTTAAGCGAGCCACGCCCACGGAGCTTGACAACCTGGAGCAGGACTATCAGCTAGATGCATCGTCGCAGAAAATGAATCTGGCCACTGAGGTATTTCGAAATGAGGTTGGCAAGCCGCAGTTTTTTCAGGCAGTAAAAAAGGCGGAGATCATCATTGCTTGCGATGATTTCCTCTCAAGTGAACCGCTTCCGCCACTGGGGAATCCAGAGTTCCTCCATGCAGCTACTGAATTGGTCCTCGGAAAGTCTTCCCCAGCACAAACACAGGGTCGAGTGAGTAAACGGTTCTTCACTGCGGAGAGCCTTTAAGCTGAATCGAATTGACGAGTTGCCGAAAACATTCCAGAGTTTTATTTGATTCTTTCAATAGGTGGTTGGCATACAGACAAAGAACAGCATCGATGGCCTGGCCCTGGCCGCACAGTTTCTGCGCCAGAAGACGACGCGGGACTTTTGTCTGCTCGCCCGCCCCTGCAACACCATTTACTGGAAGATATTCAAGGCGGCGGGCTTCAATTGCCAAAGGTATCAATACTACAGCGACACCAAAGGGGAGCTAAACATCTACGGATTAGTGGCCGATTTAATGACGGCCCCTGACGAGGCAGTGGTCGTCTTGGATGCATGTGCGCAGCATCCCACCGGCCTGGATCCCAGTACGGATGAATGGAAGCTGCTGCTCCACATTGTCAAGTGCAAGAAGATGCTGCCCTTGATTCACCTGGAGGCTCCGGGCCTGGCCAGTGGTGATCCCAACCAGGATGCTTGGCCAGTCCGATACTTTGCCGACTGCGGCATCGATTTGCTCTGCGCGCAGTCCTTTGTTAAGAACTTTAGCCTCTACAGTAAGAAACTCATGGAGTGAAGCCATTTAAATTAATTGTTGTTTTCATCATCAGATGAAACAGTTGGTCAACTGATGGTTGTGCTGGCAAATTCTGCCCATTTGAATGCTGTTCGAGGACAATTTGAATCGATGTTATTAGACACAAATGCCGAGTGCTCGTCGGTATATGCTAGTCGAGTTGTTGCCAAAATTCTTAGCGATGACAAAATCCGCTCTGATTGGTAAAATTTCAATTACTTAATTACCTAAATTTTTATATATTTTCCGTTTACAGGAGCCAAACACTAGAAGAGATGCACCGAAGGGTCTTTCAATTGCGTGCCGATCTGAGCAAGAGGCTAGCAGAACTCAAGACACCCGGCCACTGGCAGAAACTAGTGGAACAGAGCGGACATTATCTGTACTCGAATCTAAGCCGCTCTCAGATCCGTCAGCTGAAGGACAGACACATCTATGTTCCCAGCTCAGGACGCATGAACCTCACATCAGTGCAGTCCACCAATCTGGATAGCTTAGCAGCCGGCCTCAATGATGTGTCGCAAGCCGCTAAGGGCGACGTGGTCAGTGATAACTACTTCAGAACCGATCATTTTAACACAGTGCATAAATACTATCACTCTGCTTGAATCCTTTCCGTAATAACACAAGACTTTAAGTACTTCCAAAACCTTCTGGTTTCACAACTCCTATAAATAAGTTGACAGGACGAATAAAGATACTTTTGAGGCCATTCTAGGTGAAGCTTTAAAAAAGATAAGATATTACCCAGGCATAGTCCAACTATCTAATCAACTTGAGAACCTCTTTTTTTGTCAACAAATTTATGCAGCTCAAAAGGACTCAAGTCGTGTGCAACGAGAAGGGACGTATGAGACGCTTCTTACGCGTCACAACTTTTATACCCGGCACTCAGTACTGAATCTTTACCTTAGCGATTATTGTCAAATTGTACATTTTTTCCTCATCTGTCATCTACATCTACAACACTTCTCACACCAACACTCACCGTTAGCTCGCCCCCCTTCCCTAGACCCACACACTGCAAACTCACGGCAGAGGCAGAGGCAACGCCCGCACACAAAAAAAAAACAAATATAAGCTGCGGGACGGGGTGGGTTAAAAATCGGCAGAGGCAGAGGCCGCACACTACTCGAAGCAGAGTGTGAATGAGAGAATGTGAAAGAAACAACAAAAGCTGCGGGACATGGTGACAAATTAATTTCTTCATTGTGGCTATAATAATCATCCAATCGGATCCGAATTTGGTGATCTCATAGATATGGTCATTCCCTACGGAATGGCGTTTTTAGTTTTCTGTTATCTTTAAAACTGTACGGTTTTGGGAGGTTGTCGCCCTTTTGCGGAGGCGGAAGGGGGTGGGGCTAATTTTTTAAATACACTAGTTTCAGTGTGAGCATACAGCAGTCCGGAGCCAAAATTTGGCGGCTCTAGCTCTTAAAGTCTCTGAGAACTAGCAGACAAACAAGACGGACGGACAGACAGACGGACAGACAGACATGGCTCCATCGACTCGGCTATTGATGCTGATCAAGAATATATATACTTTATGGGGTCGGAAACGTGTCCTTCTGTGCGTTACATACAACCGTTATTCGAACAAATACAATATACCCTATTTACTCTTCGAGTACCGGGTATAAAAATGTCGCATGAACGAGGCACGATATGTGCTTCCTAAGTTCCCTATTAAGGATAATGATTAAAAATTCACTCTGTAATTTGTTCCTAGTCAGCTCGTACATGCAACGTCGCCCATCCGTCGGCTGAAACTAATAAATTTAACATTACAGTTAGAGTCTCTGTGGCTCCTGGCTTTGCATGACCATATTTTGACTCTCAGTTGCTGTAATGTGAATTTATATTCTTGACACATACTCAATATTATTGAGTTCCCGTGTTTGCCAAGAGGCAGTTGTGGCTCGATAACTTCCCAATTAAGTAAATTATATGACCCTCTATATTTTTTCTGGTCGCAATTAAAATTGTACAGAATAACTGGCATATAAATACACACTTGATTATTAAATCCCGTTCACGGTTCATATTAAATGCGTACTTACCACCTGTGGCTTAAAACTTATCTTTGATTCTTACAGAGTATTGTTCAACAGTTGTTTTGAGGCTTGTAAAATATATATATATTTCGGAGATCGCACTGTGGAACCCTTTTGGCCATCATCGCTCTGTCTCAGACAGAGCATGTAACAAGGGGAAGGCCATAAATCTTTGGGCAGCATTCAGCACCTATAGACTGTGCCAAAATAGATTTAAATACATTTTTTATTTCGATGTGACTTCATTGGGAATTTAAGTCACCACCAATGGGGATTTGGCGGCATCAGAAGACCTTGCCTGGCCTGCAATTTGTCAGCATGGCGATAAGCTTTTGGAAAGGGACTCCGGCTGCCAGTTGGAGGCGTACTTGAAGTCCCAGTGGCATACGGTTGCTTAAAGCTCCATAGTGACCGCCATGGTAGGGGTTTGTGTCCCCATCAGCGTGGACATTCTCTTCCCATATCCGCCCAGTGATTGACTGTGCAAACGTATCCATTCTCCCATTGTAAGCGTTACAATTCAATTGATTTCCAACACATCGATTGCGATACAATTGGACGGCTAACGAGGCAACAGCCTTCAACAATATATAGATTTATAAATATGTACACCATCGTACATGGCGTGGCCTATATTTACTTTGTGTACCAGTATTAGTGTTGTATCGCATTGTTGCCGAGTGCGTAAAGATTTATCACTGATTGCACTTATACGAGCGCCTTAGGCTTGAGGCCATCAACTTTAGACTTCAAGTGATTATCCCAACCCTCTATTCCCGGT